ATAAGAGCTTTCTATCCTACAATGAGTTAAGGGCCACCAGGTACAGCTTTGGCGCTGCAGTATGTTTTGTTGGAAGCAGGAGAGGTCCAGCATCCCAGCTTCAGGTCCTTAAAATGTGTGGCAGTAAGTAGCTTTGACACTCCCAGCCTGGAACAACTCATCATGAGTGGAAGTGCCAATCCCATGACTCCTGATATGAGCTTCATTCTTGATAGCATGGAGTGTTGGGGATACTACCATAATATTGAGTGGTACAGTATTGTCCTTGACATGCTAGCCACCATATTTGAAGAGGACCAACCTACAAGCAAGGAAAAGATGTACAAGCAGTGCATTTACTGGAGAGATAGGACCAGGGCCCATGCAACTTATTAGTATGACTCTCTTGGCCATGATGAAGTGTTGACTTACTGGTCTGAATGGTTTGACAGGACCTTTCCAATGCACATAATCTCCTTTAGGGTGATGACACTGATGAGTGCGGATTTTGTTAGTGACATCATTACTTATGTCGAGACAAGAGGAATTGTTCCTTACCCTCCCAACATGGATGGACCTGACTCCATCACTAGCTCTGAAAATTGAAAGAGGCGAGGATCTAATGTTATGGGTGTTTGTTGTGATCCAAGTAAATCTATGACTAGTGGCAAGACATGCGATCACCTATAACACTATTCTTACGTGACTATCCCCACCAACCACTCAGAATCAACATTTGCTTCGTGTCACTCCATTAGTGTGATGGGTGCCCTTGCAGTCCACTACCAAAGTCGCATTGTGAGAACCCCTCATGGGTGGTCCCTGAAATATGGAGTGATAACTCCCCATCATGACAAGACCCCTCTTGCACTGTGCCGCTCTCAGCTCTCTAAACTCTGAGTACTATGCCCTCCCATCCACAAGTCTTGCAATATTTCCTGCTCTTGAAAAACTTTCCTAGTCTGGTCGCCTTTGCTGTGTGCTTGGAACGGGGGGTTCCCAAACTCCGGGGCAAATACTCAATATAAGCGGCGCTCGCTGGTATTCCTGAATGCGCAACGCCGACCGAACTGCGCCGTCCTGGAATAAAACTACTCCACACGGCATTCAAGTAAGCCCACCAAAGTAATGGCCACTTGTGGTAAAAACGTAAAGCCACTAGCAACTCACTCAGGCTGGTAGCGAAACTGAAGATGCCGTCAAGCGTTTTCCTTGCAGCGTTACTGGTATAAGCACCGAAATCGGGATTCTCCCTAAATAAAGCTGCAAGCGCGTGCAGATTGTCTTCTCTTCTCTTTTGTATTGTTGTATGTGTAAAGGTGCCCAGTGACATGTCATCAGCAGCGCGCATCTTGGGGTCCACTCTCATTAAAATGACGATGCATGGGTGTTCCATTTTTCAAGGGCAATTGCGTATGTGATAAGGACTTGTGCTGTGTCGAGCACTCCATACTTTTCGCTGAGTGGCCGAGCCTCCTTCTCTCTCTCTCCATCTCCCACCCCCACAGATGAACAAGCGATACTCCTCGCTTTCAACTTCAGTAGCGGCAGTATCACTGTCAGGCGCACGAAAAGGAATCCAAGGTCGCTGATTTGCCAATCGCTTAAACACCTGTAAAGTGGACTCTCGCTCACCAGTGGGCATATATCGCTGCAGCTCTTGCTGCTAGTAGCCACTTTGAAAAGACTTGACTAGTGTTGACCCTCATAGTTTTGTAGTTGTAATGATAGCTTCAACTGTTGGCTCCCACCTCTACCCCTAGGGGCGAATTCAAAGACTCGAACCTCCACGGAAACGATATTGTGAGAGGAGTTCGAGGATACTTCGAAAGAGGTACGGTGTCACCTAGGACGTTTTGAGTGACCTTGGCATGCTTCGCATGACTCATTCACTATATAAAATACAGTAGGCGTACTGTATGCACGGTCGCCCTTTAGGGCAACTGGGACGCGACGCGTGCAAGTCTTGCAGAAAGCAGGTCGACTGGCTAAATTTGTCTATAGTCAAAAAACAGTACTCGCCTATTGTACACCTATATTGGGGCTAGCCAATCACACACTTTCGAGAGCAATAAGTGGTGGCAATCGCGCACAATTCCAGAGCCTAGTCTACTATTGGTGCTAGTAGCTCGTATCTCTCTGTTGCCTGCCATTTTTCATTTTCCTTCCCTGGCCGACTCCCTCAGGCCTTCTCCCCAAACAACAGCAAGAAGACAAAAGCAAGAAGATGCAGACAACAAAGGATCTCATCAAGCCCGAGCCCCGTGAGGTTCCGGTGCGGTTGTCGTTTCTACTGCTCCTGTTCGTTGGCGTCCTCGTATCTACAACCGTCCGCCAAGAGCTGATTCAATTCCAGCGATATGAAGCCGCATACACCCTGAGCCGTTCTTCCAATGGAACCGTCAGCAGCGTCTCCGTGACCTTTCATGAGGTTGGTAAATCGGATTCCGTGGTGGTGGGAACCGCAGCGTCAGCGGCGGCACAACCGTCCAGATCCCTTCATGATGAGGAAGCACCCAAGCAAGAGCCGGCGGCCCCACCACAGGAAAACGCAGAAGAAGTGACCCCACAGGAGTCTGCCGACAAGAAATGGACCATCGTCGTAGACGACAGTAAGGCAGAAACTTCTAGTGAGTCTTCCCCTGGCAAGAATATCGAACAACTCAAGCAAGAAGCAGCAACCCCAGAACAGCCAGAACAGCTCAAGCAAGACACCACTTTAACCATCGAGAAGACGTCTCTAGGGGGGACAAATTAACGTTGCCTTCGGCAATGCGACAACACCCCCACGCGGGAAGCAGTCCCCAAAGGAACCAATGAAAGAGAAGCCTAGGATTTTAGCAACCCAGGTCCGGACTAACTCGGCTCTCAATATACCAGCAAGGTGCTTACATGAACAAGGCTGGTCCGTGGAACATCACATTCCCAGGACTCCCTTTTGCGGTGTGGGATCCATCCGGGGACTCCCCAGTCCCAAATGGAACCCCGGGGACTGGAGACAGTCGGCTCAGTAAATGGCCTAGTCTCTCCACTCACCTATTCCTCTACTAGTCGTGTCAAGCTGCTCTGGGCAAGAGCAGCTTGCCCTGCGCTTCGGTATTGAGACAGCAGCACGCCCTGTGGGGAACCCTCCGTCCGAGTTTCCACGCCCCGTAGCGTGGAAACTTGAACCCTAATGGGTTCTTCGATGAATGAATCGACTCACAGTTGCCAATCTGTACCATCTCACAAAAAACGAAATCGATTCCCACAATTCGCTCCTACTCATCAAATACATCTCTACATCGCGCAGGTCACCAACTGCGTTCCGGAAATTGATACCCCACATGATGATGCTCCGCATCAGCTCCTCAATGCCTCTCGAACAAGATTACCCTTAAGGCAACGACGACCGTCCAAGACAACATTTGGCAAGATCGACAGCGGCATCCATGAATCACTAAAGCCAGCGACGTAGCCAAGACCAGCCATTGAACTCCCGATCGCAAGAAGGTTGTCTTTCTCTCAGCTTACAATTCTTCATTCAGCCGACGCTGAAGGCAAGAACCTAGATTAGATTAACCCACTCTCCCTCCCTGGTTGCACGACTCAAGGCTGTCCTGTGGAACATCACATTCCCCGGACTCCCTTTTGCCGTGTGGAATCCATCCGGGACTCCCAAGTCCCAAATGGTACCCCGGCGACTGGAGACGGTCGGCTAAGTAAATGACCGAGTCTCTCCACTCACGCTAATCCAGTCTACTAAGTCGTGTCTAGGCCTGCTCTGGCGAAGAGAGCAGACTTGTCCTGCGCTCGCTGGTTTTGAGCAGCAGCAGCCTGGGGGGAGACCCCCCGTTGCCCTGAGGTTTCCACCGCCCATAAGAGTTTCTATCCCTACAATGAGTTAAGGGCCACCAGGTACAGCTTTGAGTGCAGGTATGTTTTGTTGGAAGCAGGAGAGGTCCAGCATCCCAGCTTCAGGTCCTTAAAATGTGTGGCAGTAAGTAGCTTTGACACTCCCAGCTTGGAACAACTCATCATGAGTGGAAGTGCCAAGCCCATGACTCCTGATATGAGTTGCATCCTTGATAGCTTGGAATGTTGGGGCTATTTCCATAACATTGAGTGGTACAGTATTGTTCTTGACATGCTAGCCACCATATTTGAAGAGGACCAACCTACAAGCAAGGAAAAGATGTACAAGCAGTGCATTTACTGGAGAGTTAGAGACAAAGCTCATGAGACTTATGAGTATGACTCTCTTGGCCATGATGCAGTGATGACTTACTGGTCTGACTGGTTTGACAGGACTTATCCAATGATCAAAGTCTCCTTCAGGGTAATGACACTGATGAGTGAGGATTTTGTTAGTGACATCATTACTTATGTCGAGACAAGAGGAATTGTTCCTTACCCTCCCAACATGGATGGACCTGACTCCATCACTAGCTCTGAAAATTGAAAGAGGCGAAAGTCTTTGTTGGTGTTTGTTATCCAAGTAGTCAACAGTGCAACAGTAACATAAACAGTGAAACTTACTTTGATTTCCCACCAACCATCAACATTCTTCCTGCAATCCTTGTGGATGGTGCCCTTGCAGTCAATACCAAAGTCGCCATTGTGGTGTTGTCTGAGGAGATAGCATCTACCACAATACCTCCTCTTGCACTTTGGTGGCTTGCCAGTCAGCTCTCTTCCAGTCACATGGTCTCGCTTCTCCCATCCACAAGTCTTGCAATATTTCCTGCTCCTGAAAACTTTCCTAGCTGGTCGCCTTGCTGGTTGTGGTTCTTGGGGGAGTGTCGGCAAAGCAAAGAGATGCGGCGCTCGCTGGATTCTGTCTTCTGGAATGGCTGCAACGCCCCGAACTGCTTGGACTGCAACATCTGCATTCAAGACAGCTGGTGCACCAAAGGGAGTAATGCCACCTTGCTGGAAACGGAAGACAACAGGGGCAGTACGGTGGTTAGCTGGAATCTGGGGAAGATGCCGTCGGTTTTCCTTGCGCCGTCTGTTCAACTCATCCCGAATCGGATCGTTCTCCCTTGGAATAAAGGCTTGCAAGCTGCGCAGATTGTCTCTCTTCTCTTTGTATTGTTGTAGTTGTAAAGGGCTCTTCAGTCTTGGGATTACAATGTCATCAGCAGCGCCATCTTTGGTCCACTCCTTAAATTTGACTGTAGCATGGTTGTTCCATTTCAAGGCGAATGCTTTGTAGGACTTGTGCTGTGCAGCATTGCTTTGTGTGGAGTAATCTTTCTCCCACAAATCAAACAAGCGATACTCCTCGCTTTCAACTTCAGTAGCGGCAGTATCACTGTCAGGCGCACGAAAAGGAATCCAAGGTCGCTGATTTGCCAATCGCTTAAACACCTGTAAAGTGGACTCTCGCTCACCAGTGGGCATATATCGCTGCAGCTCTTGCTGAATAAACTCCTGGTTCAAGCGATCAGCCTGGTTGGCTAGGTCATCTGCTTCCATAAGTCTAATCCGGTTTCGATCTTCAGTGGTCAAGTCAACAACAGCCGGTACATCTTCTTCAAACACAACCTCTATATCCATTTCTTGGCAGACATCGCGGATCAAGCTGTCAAAATCGTCATTGTTGTTCTCCTCGGATCCATCGTCATCGGTGTTCTCGTCGGATCCATCATGATCACTGTCGCCATCTGTAGGCAGCGGCAATGTGTACTCAAAACCCAAGAACTCTTCTGGAATTGTCTTGGAAATTGATGGGGCGCTAACTGACTGGTATGGAACCTCCTTGAAGCCAACCTCGATTGCCAAAGAATTCAAGGTCAAAAGTGTCTCTGTTCTGTAGGTCCGAACGTCAATTTCTCCAAGCCGCTTAATTCCCTTTCGATGATTCTTTCTTTCGAAGAAGGACCACATCAGTCGCTCTCCTCTGTGAATGCCTATGTACGTTGCAGTAAGGATCTTATGTGCCAGATCAAGATTGTCTATCTCATTGCTGTTGGTTCCCCTGCCGATAAATACCACTTCTTTTTTTGTGTTCAATCGGAAGATGTTGACTAGGTCAGCGGGAGGATCGGACATGCAGCCACAGTCAACATGCTTGAACTGTCGGATGCAAACATCACGAACTAGATTCGATGACTTCAGAAACCTTTTGGGTTTGGTGGCTTCGTTGCTTTCCTGCCAAGTTGACAGAATTGTTTCTGTCTCAGCGTCTTTCGCTTGGATGTATTGAAGCGTGGCTTCGACACTTTTCCTCAGCATTTCTGGTGGCGGTACAATGGTTCGGGCCTCCTTGAGTATTTGCTTCTTTGTCGGCTCTTCATTTGGTTTTTTCTTCCTTAAGCGCTCCCTTGCTTCACAGTACTCCTCATAGGTTGTATGAAAACAAGCCTGCGACATCAGAGCACGAAAGATCCCTGCTTGTTCTTTGTTGGGTTCACAGAGGATTTCATTCCAGCGCTTCAGCCAGTGGAAGATGTCAAGTTTGACCAAGGCACCAGGGAAGATCTCCCGCACAAGTGTCTTGCGGACATTGCAACAGTTGTCAACGTATACGACCTTCACAGCTTGCTCCAGGGGACCATAACAATCTTTTCCCACGAGTTTTGACAACTTCAAATTGATGTTCAGACGATGACGAAGACGGATCAAATCAGCCTTGATTTCACTGAAGGACTCTGCTTGCCGGAGAGCCTTCCAAAATACTGTCAGCCCATCTTCATTCTGTACCGTGACAATACACTTGAATGGACAAAAACTCTGCCCTTGCTTGGTCCACACGCGAATCTTGGATGCAATCTTGTAATTGAAATCAACCTTCAACAACAGTGCAGTGATTGAACGCATCTTGCATTCCTGGAACTTCTTCCGCTGTCCAAAAACAACCATAACAATGCAGTCGATGCGGTATTTACTCAGCACCCTCCCATTGTACCCTTGTCGGTCGTCGAATTCAGAGAAAGGGCGCAACTCTTCTGGCCCTTGGTTTTCTGTATGCAGTTGAATCAGACGTCTGTGTTGGTTGGCACCCTTGGCATAAGGATTGAACATTCTTGGAGGAACGCGAGCCTTGTATGCAGTCACTGCTTTGCAACTGTCTTCCCAATCCACCGTTGCCTCCACAAGTTGAGCCTCGAGGTCCTCTAGAATTTCCCTTAAATTGTCATAGTAGCTCTGGACAAATCCCTTCCATCTTGGAATGAGTTTCGCAATTCTGTTGTCTACTAGCAATGCGTCAGCTTCAAGTAGAGCCTTAGCCGATTCGATTCCATTATCCAGCAGCTTCGCAATTTTCACTGGACCAAGACCAGGAATTAAATTGGAGTTCCCAGTTTTGTTGTGATTCTTCTTGTCTGGTAAAAGGTTCCTCCAAAATAAGTCTTTCTCGTACTTGCTGGTGGCGGCACCTACTGCAAGAGCTTTCTTTTGCTTTGCGTCCAGAGCCGCAGTTCTCCTGCGCTCCAACTTGGCCAATTCTGGATCGAGTTGTGGGAGCGTCATGAATGGATCCATCCCCTTCTTCCTTTTCTTGGGGCGAATCTTATCCACAGATAATGCCTGCAGATACAGATTGTGATCTTGGTGGTATGCTCCATAAGAACAGTGCTCGAGTTGTCTGGCTATTTCTTCTGTTGACTTGGTCGCCGCCTCCTCAACAATATGCCTGTACAGTTCGTCATCAACAGCAAATCTTTTTCCCAAGTAGAAGTGAAAGAAACCATTATAGACTTTTGCATCAATCTTCATTGAGTCCTTGTTATATCCTGCAAAGTGTTTGTTGCACTTCTTGCAGGGGTAGAGCTTAGTATCAAGATACCTGTGGCGTTCCTTGCCGAACAGCACCTTTGGTGAGTTGATCCACCTTGCGCTGTTGACATGAACAAACTTATTTGTCTGGCAGTGTGGGCAGGAGGGAACATGGTTTGGGTACAGCACATGAGGAAGCCAAACTGCCAAGCTCTTCACATAGAAGTCCTCCACATCCTTCGTTGATTTGATGCCTTTGTTCATTAGACAGCTGTCGTGTCGTCCACCAAAAGGGCGGATATCTCGCCAGTCTCTTGTTACTCCCTTCTCTGGATTAAAGAACTTCTGAGGGTTGGCGTCAACATCAGCCCTTGTCTTCCTAATGAACGCATCCTGTGCGGCGCCATACTGCTTTCTCGCCACCATGGTTGCGAGTTAATAGAACTGCAGAAGAAGCAATCAGCCAAAGCAATGCGGCCATCGTGAAGCTTTTTGTTTCTGTTTGGCCGAAAGAGCTGACCGAAAGAGGGTACGGCGAATTTAGGTTAGCGTTAGGCCACTCAAAAGTTTCGAAGCAAGACCCAAGAAATTTCGACAGGTCCTGTGGGTATACGATCGGTAGTAGAGTTTAAGCCGGGGTTTGGACTAGAAGAGTTAAAGCTGGGACAAATAAAGAACACACGAGACTATGGAGGAGGGTTGCGAGAAACGTCCTAGGGAAACCTGAATCCTCTAAGTATGTCTGTCCTCCCCCCCCCTCTTTCTTTTCTCCTCCTCATTATAACCGCGCTTCGCGCTGACCGTGTGATTGCAATGGCAATGCGCGCCGCCAGTTCACCCAACGGTGATCGGTCGGTGTGGTCTCCTAAAAAAACTCAGCGCAGCGACCGGGTTTTTGTACTGTGCCACTACCTGTACCGCTGTACCGCTGTACCGGTGCCAAAAGAGCCAGACTCTCACTCTGTGCCACGTCCGAAAAAAGGAATAAATGAGACTTCTTGACAAAGACCACTGTGCAGTACAACGTACACACCGTACTCGTGTACATACCGGTACTGGTACATGTACGGTACATACACATGTACTGTACGGTGTACGGTGGACTAGTACTACTACATGTATTGTTTCCTGAATAAAGCACCAAGACTCTTACGAAAGCTTCCTGCAAGCATCTTATCAAGTGTTTAGAGATTCTACGAACTCAGAATTAACATTAATTTATCCTTTATTTCCGCTCCGGTTCGGATTGCTGAGTGCTTGACTCAAAGTACTTGACTCATAAATGAAAATATGACAGCAAGACTCTTACACTCCAAACTCAATAATAAGAAAGCTCTAACTGGGAGTCAGTACTCAAGCTTTCTTAGCCAAGTGCTCTATTTTGCTACTCATTTTATTTCTAACCAAACAAGCAAATTCCAGTATAGAAGACTTTCTTACTAAGCTTCTAGATCAAGCAGTTTAGTGTTTGGATACGCCCAGTGCACCTGGGCCTTTGGGTCCAACTTGCTCAGGACTCTTAATTGGTTTGGATCAAGTAAAAGTGGTGATCCAGGCAGAAAATTTTGCAGATTTAGGCACAAGTTAGGAGCATTTTCATGGTTTCAGACTAGTAGTATTTCTTGTGCTTTGAGGTATCAATACTGGGAAGCTTTCTTACAAGTTTGTGATATTTCAGTATAAAAAGATTCTTATCTTTTTCTAAAATCTGAGTACTCGCTTTCTTATTTGGAGTTTCTTACCTTCAGGTTTGGAGTGTACCAAAGCCCTTCACACCAATTCGGGAATAAACATTATTGATACGTTCCCCTTTGGAAAGTTCAAAGCATTTTTCGCTTGCTCCCCCTTCCTATTTTAAAATTAAAACAGCTATTAAACCTGCTCTGTTGAAGAACTCGTGACTTAAGATTTTGTTGGGACGCACTTTTCCTCCTTTGGAACGGCGGAACGAAATGACGGTGCAACAGCTCTAGCAGCTTGCAGCACACCGCACACACCACTGTCACCAGCCAGAAAGCTCTCTAGTAGTAGCTAGCTAGTACCGTAGCTAGCAGTAGCTATCAACAAATAAATGCTTCCATGCAAGCAATCTCGATGCTACTTCTTCGTCCTGGCAGCTTACTTTGCAGTGGTTCATCGTTATTATTGTTGTTTCTCCTGATCGATCTTTCCGGTGCCCTAACGATACAATATGCAGCCGGACAACGTTGTCTGTTCGCCCCCGCTTCCAAGCCCTCATCATTCCCTCCAATGGTGATTATTGGCGGCATGGCTCAGAGCATTCCATCGTGGGAAGCTCAAATTCCGTCCTTGTCGCAATCGAGGGATGTGCTTCTCTACGAAGCACGAGGGCAAGGACCTCCACCAAAGGAGAGGTCGCCCGAATCTTTCGAAGATGTCTCATTGCCGGCACAAGCCAACATGCTAATGGAAACTTTGGACGAGATATTGGACAAGTCGCAACAGCAACAACAACAACAAGTGGATCTTGTGGGATTCTCCTTGGGTGGTCGGATTGCCCTTGCCACTTGTATTTTGTTTCCCGAACGGATTCGCAAGGTGCACATTACGGGGGTATCAGCCGATCGATCGCCACTGGGGCACTTGACTGTGGCGTCGTGGAAAGATCATGTTCGGAATGGCGACACTCTACGGTCGTTTGCGTGGTCCGTCTTGTTGACCACCTATTCGTCCAAGACGATCCAGTACTGGACCGACAATCCGGATTATTTTTACCCCATTCTAGACTTTGTGGCCCAGCAAAATACACGGGAAGGATTGATAGCTCTGTTGGAGCAATGTCACGCCAAAGACGACGACGACGACGACGAGTGGTCTACCACCTCCATGGCGAGTCGATTTCCTTTGGAAAAAATTAAAGGCCATGCCTGTGTGGGGAGCATGGATCAGGCCATGGCGCCAGTGGCTCAAGTCGAGGCTCTTTGTGAAATGCTACAATGGGATCCTCCAACTGTCTTGCCCGACTGTGGCCATGCTGCACCCATGGAACAACCACGGCAATGGAGAAAGAACGTCCTCGAATTTCTAGATCTAACTTAGGCCGGTCTCTACCGGAGGGACTAAAGTAGCGACTAAAGGAATCCTTTAGGTGGTTGTTTAGTTCAAGATTTAGTCATTATCCTTTTAGTAATGGTGGTGTCTACCAGCAGATGACTAAATCTCGGACTAAACAATTTAGTCGAGTTTTTAGTCAAAACGTGGTGTCTACCGTGGCGACTAAACAAACACCGCGACTAAATCCATTGCAGGGTGCTGGACTTAAAGGACTCAAAAAAGATTTAACAAAAGTGATCACTTGGTGGGCTACCAATATTCTATCAGCATGGTGGATTTAAAGGACTCAAACAAAGACTTAACAGAAGTGATTACTTTTTGAGATAACAAGACTGAGATAACAAGACTCAAAACACACCTCTCCTCTGTCATCGTTTGCACCTCTACTATCATTCAGTCAAAGGCCGAGAAATGAAAGCCATCCCGCACTCCATACTCTGCAATGAGGGATGGCTTTCTATTCTCAACCGAAGACTGTCGGCTTGATAAAGGGTAAGTGCGATAGAGGTGCGGCTGATACTCCTCTTCGATCGTTCGATCGTTCGATCGTTCGATCGCACCTCTACTATCGGCCGATACTCCTCTTCGGTCGTTCGATCCGATACTCCTCTTCGATCGTTCGATCGGTTGCACCTCTACTCTATCAGCTCTGTCGCGATGCTCTGATAGTGAGGCTGTGCAATGAGGGTGCTGTTCTTTTTTCAAAGTGCTGTTCTAAAAGTGCTGTTCTTTTTTTAAAGAGTTCTTAAACAAGCTTTAGTCCTTACGCTCGTCACCGACTAACACGGAGGCTGGTTAGTCGGTGAAGGAGCGTAGACTAAAGGCTTTAGTCGTAACATTTAGTCCCTATGGTAGACACCACCCACAGAGACTAAACTATCGACTAAACCTATGAAATATGGCTTAGTCGCTACTTTAGTCGCTCCGGTAGAGACCGGCCTAAACGACTAGTGCAGCCACTAGTAGCTAGCCTAGCTACGGTAGATATGCTGCCGGTGGGGGGAGTCCTGGATACAGAGGAGTTGCTGACCTGGCGTCCACTTCCTCCGAATTGAATCGGGATGACCCGGAAGCAACATACAAAGCCGGCAAAGCAATGATGGCACCAGGCAAGTCGAAAGTATGACATACAGAGCTCATACAGTAAAGCTAGACGAAACGTATTGCGGAGCTTGCGTGTTGTAGCCGAGCACGTCACTTGCACAAATGTTTTTCATAGCTACCATACGACGCACGCGTCTTTCCGAACGACAAGATACACTGCCAGGGTTCGGACCCGGCCAATGCCCAAAAACTACCGTACGATTCGCTACTGTACCACCCACGCCAGAACCAACCCACAAAACGTTATCAAAGACAGAGGAATAAGTATGTCTATGTGGTATGCAGCCAGGCATGATTACGATCAGCATAGTAGCCTCCCCACCAAAAAATGCATAGCACTAGCTAGTCTCTGAGGATAGTTTCGCTCTCCTTTCTTAGCTGTGCAGACAATACGATCATCATGTTTCCTTTGAACAGGTCTTGGGCCGAGCAACCTAGCTGCTGGTACCAGTACTACCGGGACGAGCTACCGTTAGACCTTTAGATAGTGCTTTGTACCTTTCTTGACTGGTGGTACAGTCGTACGATGTACTGTACAGTCGTACAGTCTAAAGACTACTTTGGTGTTGCCTGTAGGAAAGAATCGAATCGAATCAATCAGCAGCCATTGTCGCGGCTATTTGCCATCAACACGCCATTGGATTCGCAACTACCAGACTACCGTTGCCAGAAAGTGTGGATGGAGACTGCTTCTGTCAGATGATGGCCGAGGATCAGCCAACCAAATCAGCAAAGCATGGAAAGTCCAGGGGCACTGAAACACCACGACCTTAATTGTGACCGCTTTTGAGATTGGTGGTCAGTAACTAGAGAACTTATGCATGGGTCAGAGACATGAGCCGTTTGAAGTCTTAGAGGAAAGTCAAGAAAGGAACGGTCTTTGAGAATCTGACTCTGCATAGGAATCCCGAAATGTAATGACAGCTCACTCAGGTCTAAAAGTCGCTTTTCCTGAGAAGACCAAGAAGTGCTAGCGACCCCAATCGCCTTTAAATATTACTGCTCCTCATTGACCCAAATGTCTTGCTCTAAATCATAATGCTATTTAATTCCTCCCGTACCACTAATTTTACGGTACGGGAGAGTACAACGTACTCGAGTACCGGTTCTGGTACTTCACAATGTACACGTACCGGACAATTGGCTACAGCCTCAACGTCAACCACTGGCCATCTGCTCCATCAATTGCCATCCAAACTATTACATGTTGTACATGTAGACCTCACAGAAGCTCCCAAATTGCTTTACTGTAGTGGAATGGCAAAGATGCACCCATCAATCGCCACGCGGACCGCCACTGACACATTGGTGGCAGAGCTGTCACAGTAAGTAAGTAAGTGTACATGTACTTTTGGTGCAAGGAGCTCTGTACCCTTTACCCGCCATCGATTTTTAAAGTTAGAAAAATTTAGGCACCAGCAGGTGGCTCGTAACGCGACGAGCTCAATGTCCAAAGTGCCGAAGGTAACTCACAAAACGCGCAATCGGCCAAATACACACCCTAACAGCAGCCCAGGAGGTCAAGAAAGCTAAAGTTAAAACGATGACAGTATCCCCACGAGTGTCAAGAGATCTCCCACCACAGCCGCGAAAGCCACAACAAGGCTACATCAATGTTGACGAGCCGATTCCGGCCAACGAGGTTCGTTTTGCAAAGAAGCCAGATCATCCCATGAATGGACTTGCTAGCTTGGAGTCCCTCTGCAGTGTCATCTCTGCCATTACCCTACCAGAGTCTCTGGACTGTCAACAAAAAGAAGCCCATGTACGCTTTGATCACTTCCCTGGGAGTGAAGATATGGGCGTGGATGCCTTGCCCCGATTTCCAACCAGACAAGGAAGCGATATCACAGTTTTGGCTGCACTTGCAGCGCAAGTAACGACAGCCCCAAGGCGTTCGAAAAGCTGTTGCGACATTTGCCCCCGCAAGCCGGAAAGAAAGACTGCAAAAAGCTGCATGGGAAAGGTAATGCGAAGAGCAATGAGCATGGTTTCGAAGGCAGACAGCTGCCCTTCCTTCCCGACCCGACAACACAGTTCAGCATCAAGGACATTGCGGTGAGCATGCTGGCCGTTGATACTGTGACCAGTCCTCTCACCACAGAACCTCGCGGGGAACGTATGTGAACTTGAATAAGCAAGCACTTGTAGCTACAGGCGCCGTAACACTTACGATACATAAAAATAAGATCAGTTGTACATATCACATACATTATCATGTCTCTAGCAAGAAAGTCAACGGGTAGATTGGTCGCCAGTGAGAACGGTGTTTTCGACCAGTGGCAGCTCGTGCGGTGTCTGTTCTGAACGGCTTCATGTTGGCTGATTGCAAGAACGCGTCTGCGCTCGAGACTTCCTGCACAATCGATACTGGCCTATACCTGGTAGTCATACCGGTACAGCACGCTAGTGTGGAAGACCCACAGGAAATTCAAGGTTCTTGAAACATATACAAACAACACCAGTATCAAGTATTTGCACAATCCAGCTGGGTCTTCGAGTCCATTTGATGAATGTGGCGCTTCGTCAAGTCGTTTTGGGTCTGCCTTTGGTTGAAAGGATGCCACAGGAGTAGAATGATTCAATTCAGTCAGATAGAGTTTGGTTGATACTACTTATTGACTACTATGTATCAAAACCATGGCTGACCAGCCTTCACTCAAAGAATGGCTTCTGCAGAATATCTTGACATACTTTCTGAGACCGAAAATACTCACTTCTGTACTTTAGAATCAGCCCATGAGGTCCGGTCTTCATTTGTCCTGATGCACTTGTTTTAGCTCCAGTATTCCAACGAGAAGAATCCGATGGAGTCTTGACAGTAAACATGACCCGTGGGTACCTCTGTGCTTTGATCCCATCATCATCCCAGCGCCACAGAATAAAGCGCTCCGGACCCATGCCCTCGCGCTGGATGGCTTTCTTGGGTAGTTTGTTGCGGTGATGCCTGGACTTTTTGAGAAAGGGTGGTAGGATATCCAGGACTTTGAGAATTTTGTCAGCTGGGGCCAAAACAAACCTATCCGTAATGCCATGGTAGTCTTCGCCATCTGGAACCCAAACTTCTGTAGCATTGAACTCGGATATGTCATGCTCGCACAGGTAATAGAAATCAGACCGTGTCACAATGAACTGGTCATACTTGTCCAAGAGGTTTAGGTGCTTTAGCTTGTTCTGAATGAACCATCGAATCCAAAATATGACAGCACCGCTGCCCGGGATATCTCCTACACCACCAAACAAACCTGGAAAATGAGGAAGCATGATTTCACGCCACGATTCTGGGTCAGTTTTTGGGTCCACGCCTGGTTTTTGCTCCTTGGCAATCAAGTCCAAGGCATCACCCCAGTCCTCGTATTCATGAAACTCCCAAACATAGTGTGCGCGTTTGTAGAGACTGCTGGTTTTCTTGTCTTCTGCCACTTCTCCAACAGCCAGAGCCAAGTCAGCATTGTTGAGATCCAATAGATTTTTATACATTGATTGCCAGGTATATTCTCCACCTCGAAGAGTCCCCATAATGATGACCAAGGTTTTGTTGCCGCCGCTACTGGCATCTTCTTGGGGGACTGCTGATGTTGTTTCCACAGCTGTACTTGTTCCCCTTAGTGCCTGGCCATCTGACTCTGGCAACGTTTTGTCGATCGTTGGAGTTGTGTGTTGCTTGGGCTGTTCTGGTGTTGCTTCCGTTTTGACTTTGCTTTGTTCCTCTTCCGCTGGTTTTTCAGTTGTTGCTTGTTCCGTCTGTGTTGTGGATTCTTCTTGCTTTGTTGGTTCAGAATTCTTCTCAAGTGCTTCTCTCGTTGGTTCCGTTTTCTCTAGAGGCTTTTCCGGTACAGTGGCAGGCTCCTCATTTTGCGCAGCCACAGAATTTTCTGCAGGGTTCATCGCAGCTACCAAGGCATCTTCATTGACGTTTCGATCGCTATTAAAGGACACCAAAACGTTGATAGCACCAGTCTTCGAAACATTGTATCGAATGTCGGACACGTCGAGCCGATAGACTTCCTGCCTTGTGGCAAGCACCGCCAAAATGCAAGAGCCAATCAGCAAAACTCCCCGCCAACCGAAGGTGACCTCTGCCTGTAAAGGGGTTTGGTTGGACTCGTCCGCCATGGTGGTTTTGTGTTGGGGAATAAAATGAATCGAACTGGCACATCGGCGAGGAGAGGAGTTGTGTTGTTGCGTTTTGCGCGGTTCATCTTCAGCAGTACAGTGTACCGGTACCACCGACCAACTGAAGCTCTACTATTACATGATGTAGTAAGTACGTGGTAAATGGTACCGGTTCATCGCAATTCCTGCCACGACGCGCACATCGGATCTGCCGAGTCTACTCTAGTAGTCGAGTCTCGACGTCCCGACTGTCCGATTTTTGGGAAAGGAAGTGTGAGGTACATGTATTAATAAGGGGGCTTTCAGTACAGTACCGGTACTGGTACTGGTAAATCCGATCTGGGATCTGTCACTTTTCACGGGCTTTCTTGGTCAGCTCTTGGTCCATACCAGGTAAATCTTCTCTGGATCTTTGGGTTTCTTCATACCAGATCCTTGGTCACGTAAAGAAACCCAGAATTATTTGAGCATGCTGGGGAGAGATGATGTTTGCTACAAAATTTACTGTTTCTTGGTATCATGCTTTACCACTTTTTATTGTTAAAAAAAGAATGCTTGTGGAACTGTTGGCAAAAAGGCTATGATACTATAATACAGCCGTAGTACGATATGGTACAGTCGTAGTCTACTCGAGCTCGCGCGGTGATTTGTTGAAAAGGTGTGAACTTGAACGCACAATTTCTCTAATTTAATCAATATCCTTCCAGCTCTACTGTCTAGTAGACTGGCTATCTGTTTCGTTTTCTCTTTCTCTCTCGTTCAGATTGTGAGCTCTACAACTGAGCTCCGATATGCATACATATACCAGGATCTTTCGATCCTCTGCTTCTCGCAGTTTCTTGCAGATAGATCTCATCATCTATCTTCCTGAAGTGCATGTTTGGCCCTGGAGGGCTTTCCCACTTTACTAAACCTATGACCTTCATCCGTCCATTCATTTGCTCCTCCCATCGCTCCTTGCATTCTCTCTTCGACCTAACTCCCTAACCTTTGTAGTTGCACATCTAGACGACCATTGTCCTCTTCCTCGTACACCTGGCCATCTGATGATGAATCGGATAACCATCTGATTTGAGTCACACACCCCAATCACGAACCGTGACTGCGGACCCGAGTCGTCTTTCCTTATACGAAAATACTTTCTAACACCCTGTTTCCACGATGTTGGCAGCGACCTTCTTACAACTCAAACCAATTGCTCCTTGTCTCCTGTCAATTTTGGTGCATGTCTGTCGAGAGTCTCGACGTTGACATTCTTGGTCCCAATGTCGCTCACGTTGTCTTCCGAGCGAACAAAATCAATCTTCACTAGGCAGTCCTGTGCATTTGGTTCAGTAGAGCCACCTCGTATCATATTGCCTTGTTCGACTCACTGTCTTGTTTCTCTGACATAAAAGATAGCACCTACGTTATCGAACTTCACTTGCACAGGTATTTCCACGTTGATCTGTAGGAAATTCAGAATCTGCGCGATGAACGGGTCTTCTCGCACTTCTTCGCCACACTCGGTAGAACTCAGCTTCGGTACTCGACAATGCTACGACTTTCTGTAGCTTGGACCTCGAAGTGAATGAGTATCACTTCTAGAAAGATCATCATGGACGTGACCTGATCTTCTGTTGTTCTTGTCTCCGGCCCCATACCGAATCCGAGAATACTTCCAATTTCCCCGTCTTCGTTCTTATCTGGCCTCATCAAAAGTCCACGGTCCTTTGAGTCCAACACGTACATTTAACACAGCGTAGCATTTCCTTGTACGCTGCGGGCTGCGCATCCCAAGACCTTAGCTAGCTCTCGTACCGCGTTCAAGAATTCTGGCCTTGAATGCTTGATAAGGTACATAGCATGCTACTCCTGTTCGATACTGCTCTGTTAGTCTTCAGCGAGTCCAATCGCTCTGTGTTGTGCTGTTTTGTTCGAGTCGTGTGTCGCAGTCTTGTATTGGTAGCTTCTGTACCTCCTCTTCGAATGTGGTTTGAATCTTCGTTAATCATGTGTGGGTTGTCCCACCACTGCAGCATCCTTTCGGGGATTAATCCGAATCTCCACAGATCAGGTAGTCCGTGAGTTCGTACTCTATCGGTCATGTCAAGCCTCGATCTTTAATCTCTTGAAGCACTTCCTTGTTAGACTATCATCTTCTTCTCCAATGGTGAGATTGTCATCCACGTAACATAGAATCACGCATATCTTCCCATTTTGTTCCGCATGAAGAGGATGGATCACTAGGACATGCAACGAATCCTAAGTCTTCCAGGACACTCGCAAACTTCAAGTAATACTGTTGTGCGCTCTGGCAAGCACCGTAGAATGGTCTTGTCCAGCATGACATCATTCGTCGTCTTGGTGTTTAGTCCTTTTGGGCAGTCCTATGTAGATGACTACGTCCTCTGTCTCCATGTAGGAATGCTGTATCAATATCGAAGATAATTCCTTCGCTCTTCCCATCTCTCTTTAGATAGTAGAATCAAAGATGATGCGGAAGGTGATGTCGTTAGCCACCGGACTGTAGATTTTGTCAAAATCAATTCCGGAACCTGACTGTAGCCGCAGGCCACCAATCTAGCTCTGAAATTTTCCATTCCGCTTGATTTACCGCACCCATTTGTGTTTGACACCATCGTCTTCCCTTCCTCCATTCTTGATTCTTGATCTTGCGCTAGACCTTGAGTTTCCTCCATCTGTCTGACTCGCTTTGATCCGCCTCCCGTCCACTTCTCTCGCTGAAATGTTCCGGGTGGTCCCAAGCTTCCTCGAACGTGCTTGCTTGGTGAACAGATACTTGTACTTTGCTGCCGATGCACTGAGTCTCTTGGGTCATATGCGGAGTCTCTCTATCAATGGATAGCCTGTCCTAGTCCTCCCGCTCAAACTACTTCTGATCGCCGTGTAACCCAAACTCCATTCCAGTCGTTCATGTGCGTCCAAAACGTGTCTGTCATTCGGAAATGCGGTCGAAAAGTTTGCCATTTCTGTCGTTGGCGGTGATTCCGGTTGTTCGTGCTGGGCTGTTATCTTCTCTCCTCCTTCGGATGCATTGTCCGAAAGTGCTTGCATGAGGGAGGCCCCGTCATGAGGTTGTAACGCCGCTAGCTTGTCCAACGTCCGTAGGGCCTGGGGGTTGTATTGCTCGCACTTAGTTTCTGTAGTTCCCGCTTTGCCTTGGATAGTTTGTTCGCGACCGGGTCAGGTTGGTTGGCTGTTGGGATCGCGAGAACTTTATTAACCTTCTTGGTTTCTAGT